GTGAAAGGTGCCTAGATTGCGTGGGGGGTATAAATGTGAATGGGGTGGCCTCTTCCCTCCAGCGGAAAGGGAAATCAGTCGTTCCTATGGCGACACCGTGATGCCGCATGGGGATGGCTGTAGCACATTTGCCCCTTTCTTAAAAATAAATCTATCCAGTCAAATAAAACTATTTCAAAGACGACCTTCCATTTAGGGACCAAAGACGTCTTTTGTCTTTTTCCTAATTTGTGATTTTTCTGTCAGTGGGATGCCATATTCCAGTGAGTCTGCACCGAAGCAGACTCGCTATTTAAGGGCTGAATGGTCGGACCCTCTGCGGGAACACGTAAAAATAGGACTAGAGTTTAGGGGGCGGTTTGGGATTAAGGCTTAGACTCCCTCTCAACAGATTTCAGCTCTTTCAAATCTGAACCTCAAAGTTCTTTTTAACCGCTCAGATCTTCTACAGAAACTTCTCAAGGTTTGGACCCAGAAGGTCCAACAATCCTAGTTCTGAATTTCCTTAAAACGGCTTCCACTGATCATCTGATGACAGTATGGAATAGTAGGGAATCACCATAGCAACCACCTGGAAGAGGTGTTGATTTGGACTTTCAAAATAAAGCTAAGAGATTCCTATAAAATAAAAGCTGAGCTCTCTAATAGTTTAGATGAATACTAAACAATTTTCTCTGTAGTTTCCAAAGATCACAGAAAGGATTTATTCTTATACAGCAACGTCCTTCAAATATATTCTGAAAGGTTTCATGCATCCACTTGTATCCACCATGTATCCACATCTATGCTGATTAAATTCTGCTTTTGTCAGTTTTTTCATGCTTTAAATACAGAATGGTTCATGTTTCACTCTGATTCAGAACGGAGTGAAAGTTCGGACCCAGCTAGGATCAGTTACCGTGCTGAGCTAGATTCTTAACGAACATTTACACACCATGCTAGTGACGATCTACGGTACTACTGCTCTCTAGTGGGAACCAACATGGCGGCGCCCGTAACATTCAGAAGGTTTGCAGAGAGTCAGGTGACGAAGGCTAACCTGACAACAGCCAGATGCATGTCTCGCTCCGCCCAGCTCCACTCACATACATCTGGGA